TCGGACATCATCCTACTTCTAGCAGGCCCGCCATGGCAGATCCCTCTGAGGAGGGACCTGTTGTCTAAGGCGGAGGGCTCAGTTCTCCACCCTCGGCCCAAGCTGTGGAAACTTTGGGTCTGGCCCCTGAGGGGGCACAGTACCTAGAAGCCGGTCGGCCTGCCAGAAGTGGTGGAAACCATACTCACTTCCAGAGCTCCTTGACAGCATGTCTGCTCCCTGGTTCTGGTCCCCCGGGACATACATCGCCTTGAGAGACGACAGTCTCCGCTGGGACCACAGGAGGATCTGATGTGCCAGTCTGCACAGAGAGTAATTTACAGAAAAAGTAAATTACTTATACTGCTGAGAGTATAAGAAGTCGCTGAGAGCGTCGTTAAGGGTAATGGCAGCAGAAACATGCTCTGTGGGGGCCCTGCTGGGCACTACTGGCGTAGCACCACCCCAGCAGAGTACGTCCCTGGGCTGGAGGTCCAGTTGCACCGTAAACCAGCTCAATCTCTTCCATCTCATATAGGGGTATATTGGAAGAGATTTTGATGGAGAGCGGGAGAGTCTTCACTCCGATGAGGCGAGTGAAGAAGTAAGTTACTTATACTGCTGAGAGTATAAGCAGTCGCTGAGAGCGTCGTTAAGGGGAGAAAAGTGCTCTGTGGGGGCCCCGCTGGGCATTACTGGTGTAGCACCACCCCAGCAGAGTATGTACGACGCTCTACGGCCCTGGGCTAGAGTTCCAGTAGCACCGTAAACCATCTCAATCTCTTCCATCTCAGATAGGGGTATACTGGAAGAGATTTTGATGGAGAGCGGGAGAGTCTTCACTCCGATGAGGCGAGTGAAAAAGTTACTGCTGACAGTATAAGAAGTCCCTGGGCTGGAGGCCCAGTAGCACCGTTAACCAGCTCAATCTCTTCCATCTCAGATAGGGGTATTACTTTATTTTATTTAATTTTTACTCTTAACTGTTTTTATTTATATTGATTGCATTTACTGAATGAGCACTGTGCCACTGTTCGTCCGACTGTTACTGTACTTCATTTTATTTTTGATATTGTATTTTATTTTTATTATTATGATTTTTTTATTCTAAACTGTTTTAATTATTCTGATTTCTTTTGATTATTTTAATTTCTTCTATGTAAAGCACTTTGAATTGCCACTGTGTATGAAATGTGCTATATAAATAAACTTGCCTTGCCTGTACGGCCTTAAATGGAATGTTTTTTCCTTGTGGTGCAGAGAGCCTGATTTGCATCCAGTTAACTGCCCAGTGGCTTCAGTACTGGAGTTTCTCCAAAATCGTTTCTCTGCAGGGCTTACCCCATCCACACTCAAGGTTTATGTGGCTGCCATTGCGGCTTTCCACGCTCCTCTGAGTGATGGTCCTCTGGGGATGAATCATCTGGTCCTCTTGGGACCTGGTAGTGGTTCTTGAAGGGCTGGCTGAGGCCCCCTTCTTGAGTCGGCCAAGGCCAAGAACCTTTCATTTAAGATGGTCTTTTGCTGGCTATTACTTCTCTGAGGAGGGTAAGCATCTCCAGGCACTTTCCGTTTCACCTGGGTGCTTGGAGTTTGCTCCAGGTAACATTAAGGCCATCTTACATTCCAGGCAGGCCAGGTTATTTACCTAAGGTACCATCTAATGTAGCACGGCCTTTGGTTCTGCAGGCGTTTCATTCCTCCACCCCATGTGACGGCGTATGAGGAGAGGCTTAATTTGTTCTGCCCTGTCAGAGCTTTGCAGTATTATATCCAGAGGTCCTCCTCGTGGCGAAGGTCCAACCAGTTGCTGGTGTGTTTTGGGTCGCCCAAAAAGGGGCTTCCCGCCTCTAAACAGACTATCAGCAACTGGATTATTCAGACTATTTCCCTGGCCTATCAGGTGCGCAATCTGCCTTCACTGATGGCCGTGAGGGCTCACTCCACCGAGGCATAGCTCCTATCAGGGGTATCTATACATGATATATGTGAGGCGGCTGGCTGGGCCACTCCGCACACATTCATGAGGTTTTACAGTCTAGACCTTCCCTCTACACCCGGTGCATGAGTGCTTTCATCCTATGTTGTGCCTGAAGACAGCCTCACACTAGGATGAGCAGGGTTCGTTGTGGTATAGCAGGTATCTCGCTCCCCTTGTGTCGTCACCGAGTTAGAGTTCCCTCGAAAGGGAACGTCTCGGGTTACGTATGTAACCCTTGTTCCCTGAGAAGGGAACAAGAACTGCGTCAGTTCGCCACACCTCACCCGGCTTAGAGCACTTGCTTCATAGCAAAGAACTGACTTTGCTTGTGCCACCGTGCCTTTATATACATCAGTGTATGCCGTCACACGCTACGTCATCAGGCAACGCCAATTGGATTGGATTCGGTTTCATTCATAAATTCAGACGCGCTACACTGAAGGGCGTTTTCCCCCCTAGTGTCATCACCGACGCAGTTAGAGTTCCCTTCTTAGGAAACAAGGGTTACATACGTAACCCGAGACGTTTTTGACAGTGGCAGATGGAGTTATTGATGTAGCATCAAGGTCAAGTCTGGAAATACTACTTACATTTTTTGATAGAGATGGAGGGCCAGTGATTAATGTTTCTGTTTTAGTCAGATTCAGACTGAGAAAATTTGAGTTGAGCCAGGTCTTTAATTTGTTAATGCATGAAGATAGAGATGTGGTCTGGAGAATAGAATCCGGTCGACAAGCAGTATATATTTCGATATCGTCGGCGTAGCAGTGGTAGTGAAAAACCGTGGTGGCGAACAGTTTGTCCAAGAGGCAAAATGTAAATAATAAATAGTAATGGGCCAAGAACTGATCCCTGTAGGACACCTTGGTTGAGAGTGACAGTTGGAGATTTGTGATTGTGCATAGCGATGTAGTATTTCCTATCTGTCAGATAGGAGGAAAACCAGGATAACGCGGCTCCTGAGATACCAATCTCTGAGAGGCACATGAGTAGGACTTTATGGCAGACAGTATCAAAAGCTGAGCTGAGGTCGAAAGTAAGAAAAAGTAAGGAAAGGTTACCAGAGTCACCAGAGAGTAATGTCATTGATAACCCTTGCTAATGCAGTTTCAGTACTGTGGTTTTGGCGAAAACCAGACTGAAATAAATCGAAACTATTGTTGATAGATAAATATGACTGCAATACACCTTATTCAGAGCAGCGCCATGACAGGTATGAAAGTGAGGCTGTGAGGGATAGACTTACCGTGTTTCCAATGGCATCCGCTGTAAAAAGCTGAATAAAACTGCTAGATACTTACAATTTTCCACAGCTTACATTGTCGGGAGTTTTTTGTCAACTGAAATTTCTTGGAAAGATATTTTTTCAGTGTTTCATGAGCAGAACAATCCGAAAACACATTAAATAACAGTACAGCCCATTGAAGAGATGCATGACTATCCCTCACAGCCTCGCTTTCATTCTCATTAAAAATCAAAGATGGCGCTGCCGTGAATAAGGCGTATAGAGTAGCGACAACCTTTTTCATGATTTTTGAGACATATGGTAGATTGGAGATTGGGCGGTGGTTAGTGTAGTCAGTTGGGTCCAGATTAGTTCTTTTAAGAATAGGAGTAACTGCAGCTGTCTTTAGTGAGATTGGAACTGAGGCAGAAAGAAGAGACATGTTTACAAGATGTGAGATAGGTGCAGAAATGACAGAGGTACATTCTTTCAGAAGGGTTGTAGGTGCAGGATCCAGCCAGCAAGAAGAATTGGAGATCTGTATCATTTCGCTAATCAAAATGGGGTTGGTCAACATAAAGTTACTAAGCGTTTGTATCTGCCCATATGGAAAAGGTTTTCTAAAAACACCTGTGATTCTTATATGTTCCAACAGAATATTGTAAGGGACATATATGCTGCAAAATCCACATATATAAATTGCATAATATTAATATATTTTTTAATCATATATGTCATATACTGCATGTCCTACACAAAAGCCAAGATTTTCTTGATGTAAAAACATAGGAAAATAATGCTAATTTAATATTCATGTCCAGCATCTTAAAGTATTAAGTTGACTTTCAAACCCTGATGTCATCCAAGATATCCATGTATCACTTAAATTTTTTATACACAGAATGGACTTCAATGGCCACCAACTATTCAAATATTCAAAGAAGTTTCAAAGGTATATATATATATATATATATATATATATATATTATTTTTAGTAATTTTTTAATTATTATTTTTTTTTAATGACCGATCGTTTCGCTAGATTAGACCCTTATTTCTTGACTGGGATCGTGTCGAGACTTCGAAGCTACATTAAGATGGACATTTGAACCTTCTTTGCAGTTCACTCTAGCTCTTGCTCTTATGCCCTAAGTGGAGCCCTATGCCTATAGTCAATCATGCTCATATACTGTATACTCAACATTTGATGAAACTTAATAGAAAACAATTTAAAACTACACACACAAGCACACATTTAAATTACAAAAAAAAAATTATTAGAGTGTATTCTACGAGATACAGTTGAATATTTTACATATCAATAGTTTTATTTTAAATTCTTTATCACCAGATTTCATTTTCATTTGTGACAATTTTTGTAAACTTTATCACAGTAGGCCTACTAAGTTAGTACATCTACTATTCTTAACCTGAAAAGGATACTTTATGTATTAGAAAGATGATTGATGTGAAATAAGATGCAGAATTGTGATTATTTTTGTTTCATGGATTCAAATGTCTCTGTATTTCGCTTTAACGTTTTCTCAATAAAAAAATAAAAATTAAAAATTAAATAAAATATAATACTATTCTTAACCTAGTACAAACATAAAACTTTCCTTAAGTTATTCTTATGCATATCACCACCAGAGTTTGTCACATACAAAAATATATTCTAGCCAATTTTCAACATTTTATTCACTGTTCAAATGTTTGACGCCTCTGATTTAATAAACACTGTGATGAATTACATCCGGGACTTTTACTTGCTGAGCGCGACGAAACGTGCAGAGACCGTTTTTACACAGACGCCATTTTCTTTGATTCGCGATGAAAGGCATTAGATGAGGGAAAACGCATGGAATAAGAGTTTTATCGCATTTAAATATGCATTGTATAACGTCTTATTGTTTTATAACAATGTGTATTTGCTGTGCGTGGCTAAACCGCTCTCAGGGGGGCACTTCCGTCGACGCCCGATGCAGAGCTGACCAGGATGGGTTTGCTTTTTAACAGGGAAACGGCGAAAGTAAGTGTTTTATCTAATTTACAATATGTATGTTATAATATATTGATTTATAGCGATATTTAAATGCTTTGTTCGCTTAAACGAGCCGAATATTTTCTCTAAGGCGACTATCTTCTTTGACTCAATATACTGAGCTGACGACGAGGGAGGTTTGCTTGTATCTTTAAAACACAAAGTAAGTTAAGTGTTTTTAATCTAACGTTAATCTACAAAATGTATTTCATGGCATTATATTGTTTTGTAACGATATTTATGTGATGTGCGTGCTTAAACCTTTCTCACAGACTACGTTAGGCCTGCATCTTCGACTCGTGACACAGTGCTGACATGGAGTGCTTTTAGCAGTAAAAACAAATAGTTAATGTTTTAACTCATTACAATACGCGTTTTATATTGTTTATGACAATATTTGTGATGTGCAAATATTAAAAGTATGTATTTATCCTCAAACTATCTTTTACTCATGTTTACTAGCACACCTACTGAAAAATAGAAGAACAACTCCACAGACTGCAGATCAACAATGCACGTGAAATTGTCGCTTTATTTCCTTTTTTGGAGGACCAATTTTCTTAGAATGGGTAGTTAATTCTTTCAGATTAAATATTTATTCAAAATGTACTTATCAGAATAACTTTTGATGTTGGGTGGTATGCTTTCATGTTTAAATGTAAGTTATTGATTTTAGCTATTTGTGTTTTCTAGGAGCATTTCTATGATGCACCGAGGGGCTAAGGCTAACCAGGCTTGGTGTTTAAAGACTGTACAGACTAGAACTTGGTGATGGTAAGATTTAACAGATAACATGAGAGAATCATGGGCACAAAGATAAAAAATAATCATAGCTTTGTTGCTATTTGGTATAACTAAGATTTTCTGTGTTTCATAACACTCATTTTGAATTTGTCCAGTCAAATAACTTTACAAAAGTAATTTTTATTTTTTTCTTAAAATCAGTTTTCAAACCAATTGTTTTCATGACTTGACGGGTAGATGTTTTCTTGCGGTTTAATTTTAAACTCCACTGACTGTGAAATATCTGCCCCTGAAATATCTCACCTGTCCAACATCACAGCCACAAGAAAGGAACACAGATTCTTCCGGCGGCTGACTATTAGGGAGATTTCTTAAGGTGGGTGTCTAAATTTATTCTTAAAGGGTTAGTTCACCCAAAATGGAAATTCTGTCATTAATTACTCACCCTCATGTTGTTCCAAACATGTAAGGCAATGCAAGTTTATTTATATAGCACATTTCATACACAGTGGCAATTCAAAGTGATTTACATGGAAGAAATTAAAATAATCAAAAGAAATCAGAGCTGTAAGAATTTCTTTCATCTTCACAACACAAATGAAGATATTTTTAGTGAAATCTGAGAGCTTCCTGCCCCTCCATTGACATTGACAGTCTATGCAACTACCACTTTCAAGCCCCAGAAAGGTATGCAGTGATCTCAAACTCAATTCCTGGAGGGCCACACGTCTGCACAGTTTTGCTCCAAACCTAATCAAACACACCTGATCCAGATCCATTGAGATCCATTGAGCTAATCAAGGCCTTCAGGATTACTAGAAACTTCCTTACATGAGGTGTGAGTTGGAGCTAAACTGTGCAGAGCTGTGGCCCTCCAGGAATTGAGTTTGAGATTAGGGTTGTGCCGATAGACGATAGTATCGTGTATCGACGATAGTCTGACATATCGCCGATGGCAGATGCCTTTGACGATATCAATTACGATAATTGGCTCGTTTTACCATAATGTATTAAATTATTATTATTAGGCCTATTATTCTTATTATAAAGCTAGTATTGTTATTAAATGAATATTAGGAACTACAATCAAATTTGCCTTGCCTAAATTTACAACGACATCACCTCATAACAATTGCATCAACACACTAATGAGGACTCCTCTAAGAGAATGTTTTTAAAACAGACTAAAAAACATCCCACATCAAAATTTAATTGCAAGGTGATCCATTCACAAATTATCAAGTGTGCTCGTTTTAACAGACGCAAAATTCAATTTCCTACAGATCCAAGATGAAAACGGCATCGTTGTTCGTCAGTATTTGTTTCCGTAACACATTAACAAAACGTTTAATGACACTAACACTAAAAACAATACAATTACTAAATAGTATTAATAATAATATCACTAAAATAGTATTATAGTTACCGTTATCATCGTCGTCTCTGAGGGAACGCGGCGTTAATGCAGATGCCGAAAGCAGTCCGTTTTTACTTTCACTTTCAGAGATTGAGCGCGTTTACATGCGACGACTTTCTTAACCTGATTATGTTGAATAAACTTGACAATGCATGTGGTCATGTAAACGTTTCCTTTATCTGAGTCAAGTCATAAGTATAAACCGATCGACTCAGCTAGACGTTTGGCCCTTGCTCTTGTTTCTCCCGGCATTTAAAACACATTAACCCGCGTACTTCGTGCTTACTGAAGTGCGCATGTGAAGTGCGCAAAGAGCGCACTGCTAGGGCTTTTTCTGACCCAAGAAATTATTAAAACGTGTTTTCATCTCGTGCAGAAATAGGCCCTAGTCAAAATGCTTCATGTAACGGCATGAGGATAGGCTAATGTGTCCGTAAATTTCCCGTTGACAAACAAAAGGATTAGGATCTCTTTTTTTTTTTTTACCTCACTATACCAGGAAATAACCTGATCCTATTAATAAACACTCCACCTTTGCTAGCAAAATAGAAAAAATATTCTCGTATATAAAACGAAGTAGGCTAATAAAACAAGCAAATTAATGAGTAGGCTAAATAATCAAGTTAATAATCAAATGTTAGCCCCGCCCCCTCACGATACTATCGTGTATCGCCGATCTCACAGGCTGACGATAGGACGATATGAAAATGGAGCATATCGCCCAACACTATTTGAGATCACTGGTATAAAGGTACATCATTATGCTGCGTTCACACGTATACGCGTGAACACTTTGAATCCATTCGTGTGTCGCAGGCAGGCTCATTTTTTTAGCGTTGCGCTTATTGTGCGTTGCGTGTAGCGTTGCGCTAATTGCGCTAATTTTTCAACAGGATTTTTTATGCGTGTAATGCGCCTTTGCATTGACTGACGGCAGAGATCCACTTTTGCGACACGATTGTTCCCCACATTTGTACTTTGTTGGGCGTTCCTCAAGTTTACCACTAAGGACGTGGTTTTGACTTGATTTCCTTTCCGTGGCTTTGGAAATGGTAGTTGAATAGGCTGTCAATGGAGGGTCAGAAATGTCTTAGATTTCATTAAACATAACTTTGTTAAGTGTTCCGAAGATGATCAAAACCCTGGTTTGGAACAACATGTGGGTTAATAATTAATGACAGAATTAACATTTGGATGAATGAAGTCTTTAATTTACTTTGAAATCAGTAAATTCAAGTCTTAATCTAACCCAGGGGTTCTCAAACTCGGTCCTGGAGGGCCACTGTCCTGCAGAGTTTAGCTCCAACCCTGATCAAACACACCTACCTGTGAGTTTCTAATGATCCTGAAGACCTTGATTAGCTTGTTCAGATGTGTTTGATCAGGGTTGGAGCTAAACTCTGCAGGACAGTAGCCCTCCAGGACCGAGTTTAAGAACCCCTTATCTAACCAAAATAGTTGATTGAAAAGATGATTGAACTTTTTCCACCATAAACTTGCTGTATTTATCAGGGATGTGATTTTTCCGAATTAATCCGGAATTCCGGATTTTCCGACCTGAAAATGTGATCTACGTGAATCATGCAGATCTGTAAAAAAAAAATAATAATAATATTGGTGTCGGCAGCCGGAGTGAAAAGGAGAGAATATGAGGACATAACCCATAACTGGCTGACGTGCGTACAGAAAGTTCCTTTCAAAGTATCAACAAGGACGTATTTGCGTTCAGCCAGAGAATGTCTAATTGGTTCAGTTTGTTCACCTGATCAATTTCGTATCTCAGTCGCCCTCGCGCTGGTATCGTTGTCAGTTGACAAGAACATCACAGTTAGGTCACCAGGGCTGGGCGATATATTTCAAATTTGCGCTATGATCCTTGCTCCAAGCAAGCTGCTGACTGCTTTTGTAGAAATATGTAGCAGCTATATCGTGCATTCTGTCAGTTGCAGTCCTCCTGACACCTCCGTCTCAACAGCATTAGTGTACAACGCGACAAATACTCGCAGAGGAACGGCTACATCAGTTCAGCGAGTTCACAAAAGTTAATTTGCATCTGCTTTAAAGCCTTGCCGGTTAAACATGTCATTCACTGCTGATGCGCTGTTCTGAGCGCGAACACCCGACGTGCACATGCACTAAAAGCTTGTAACGGCGCCTGGTTGCTGGACTAAGTTATCTTTCGAGTAGTATTATTTCGCTAATACTCTCAAATACACACAAGGTTTACATAAGAACATTTGGTTATGTCCAGGGGTTAAAGTGGTCCGGAACTGCGTTCCGGCACCTCAGATAAATTAATAAATAAATAGATTAATTAATCTCAACGAATCTTGCTTCTCCCGATATGGACCAACTTCCCTTCCCTCCTGTTATATAAAGTATAACAGCATAAAGTATAAACTATATAAAGTAGCTATAAACGCCTCGTCCGTTTGGAGAGGTGCGCGCGGAGCCCCGCGCTCGTGCGGACGCGTCTAGTTATACACAAGGCTTTACAAATCCTTGAAATGCACTTGCGGTGGTTGAGCGCGGTAAAGTTAGTTTTAGGTCCGAAATATTTCGCCTGACATTTGTTTTCCCTATAGCCGCTGTTCTAGGGTCTTACAAAGAGATCAATAGCAGGATTAGTTTTAACAAACCATTGTATATCGACATTAATATTCGTTCATTAATATTCAAAAATCACCTGCGTGCATTTAATGCTGCATAGAATCCTGAGAATGCTTTCACGGGTTTGCACAGCGCATGATGAGGGAACGTCTGCCAATTCCACCAAATAATTTGTATTATTTAAAATTACTTTTTTAAATTCCAAAGCTTGTATTAGGTGGCAATACAGACCTGGTAGCCTTGAGTAAATTAACTTGTTTAAGATAATGATTCATGAAACATATAATTATCAATTATTTACTTCACTGACAGATGAAAATGAAAGACTATCAGTCAAAGTTCAGGGGGTTTAGGAGGGGAAGAAATAGGGCAGGATAAGGAGACTGAGAAAAATAAAGATGTAGATGAGAAGAGAGCAGGTAGGCTATTGACAAAATAATCGAATGCCCACTGACATGGTTTTAAAGCTATTTATTATCCTTTTTTTGGCCTTCAAAAGTCTTAAATGGCACATAATTTGGTCAGAGAAATCAAAATTTTCTCGGGGGAGGCCAAATGAAAGCAAACCGAGAAAATTGAGAGAAATCTGTTTGTCAAATGCTCCGTGTATATTAGACGTGTCGCGTACAGGTCTTAAAGGCTTAGTTCGCCCAAAAATGAAAATTAAGTCATTAATTACTCACCCCCATGCTGTACCAACCCCGTAAGACCTTCGTTCGTCTTCGGAAGACAAATGAAGATATTTTTGATTAAATTTGAGAGCTGTATAACTACCACATTGGCTGCCTAAGGGACTGCCTCTTGACGGCCCAGAAAGTCAATGAAGAAAATGTTTAAATATCCCAAGTGACTACCGTGGCTCAACTATATGTTTATCAAGCGACGCGAATACTTTTTGTGCGAAAAAACAAACAAAAATAACGAGTTTATTCGACTATTCATTTTCTTCCTTGTAGGCCAGAAACGAGACTTCCTTAGATTTCCACGACGCATGCGCGAGAATTGCGATCTGAAGTAGTGTAAAGCAGATCGCAATTCTCGCGCATGCGTCTTGGAAATCTAAGGAAATCTCGTTTCTGGCCTACAAGGAAGAAAAGAAATAGTCGAATAAACTCGTTATTTTTGTTTGTTTTTTTGCACAAAAAGTGCAAAGTTAACTGTTTTTTTTGCACAAAAAGGCTACTTTCAGCAGGATAATGCGCCATGTCATAAAGCTGGAATCATCTCAGACCGGTTTCTTGAACATGACAATGAGTTCGCTGTACTCAAATGGCCTCCACAGTCACCAGATCTCAATCCAATAGAGCATCTTTGGGATGTGGTGGAACGGGAGATTCGCATCATGGATGTGCAGCC